ACACCGTGTATATAGTGAAGATGGTAAGAAGTGATGGTGGATGCTGGGAGAAGATCTCAGACACCGTGTATATAGTGAAGATGGTGAGAAGTGATGGTGGATGCTGGGAGAAGATCTCAGACACCGTGTATATAGTGAAGATGGTGAGAAGTGATGGTGGATGCTGGGAGAAGATCTCAGACACCGTATATATAGTGAAGATGGTGAGAAGTGATGGTGGATGCTGGGAGAAGATCTCAGACACCGTGTATATAGTGAAGATGGTGAGAAGTGATGGTGGATGCTGGGAGAAGATCTCAGACACCGTGTATATAGTGAAGATGGTGAGAAGTGATGGTGGATGCTGGGAGAAGATCTCAGACACCGTGTATATAGTGAAGATGGTGAGAAGTGATGGTGGATGCTGGGAGAAGATCTCAGACACCGTGTATATAGTGAAGATGGTGAGAAGTGATGGTGGATGCTGGAAAAAGATCTCAGACACCGTGTATATAGTGAAGATGGTAAGAAGTGATGGTGGATGCTGGGAGAAGATCTCAGACACCGTGTATATAGTGAAGATGGTGAGAAGTGATGGTGGATGCTGGGAGAAGATCTCAGACACCGTGTATATAGTGAAGATGGTGAGAAGTGATGGTGGATGCTGGGAGAAGATCTCAGACACCGTGTACCGGGAGAAGATCTCAGACACCGTGTATATAGTGAAGATGGTGAGAAGTGATGGTGGATGCTGGGAGAAGATCTCAGACACCGTGTATATAGTGAAGATGGTGAGAAGTGATGGTGGATGCTGGGAGAAGATCTCAGACACCGTGTATATAGTGAAGATGGTGAGAAGTGATGGTGGATGCTGGGAGAAGATCTCAGACACCGTGTATATAGTGAAGATGGTGAGAAGTGATGGTGGATGCTGGAAAAAGATCGGTGACACCATATATATATAGTGAAGACCGTCACTATAAACGATTGTTAAGCACGTGTCACCATTGGATTGTGTGCTAGAGTTCCCCCTAATCTCGAGTGATTGTGTATTGTGGCGATTGTAATTGTGTATAATGAATAAAAAATAGGAAAGATATTGTGTTGACCTATTTGTCTTCATCTACAGGTGTTTTGTAGAGTGAGCTTCAGCTCCTGGACCCCAGTTTTCAGTCCCAGGTCACCTATTACTTCTATTATGTCAGTTTTGATCCTATACGATCAAAACTATACGATCGATAGGGGGCCTCGTAGCCTGGTGGATAGCGCGCAGGACTCGTAATTCTGTGGCGCGGGTTCGATTCCCGCACGAGGCAGAAACAAATGGGCAAAGTTTCTTTCACCCTGAATGCACTGTTACCTAGCAGTAAATAGGTACCTGGGAGTTAGTCCGCTGTCACGGGCTGCTTCCTAGGGGTGGAGGCCTGGTCGAGGACCGGGCCGCGGGGACACTAAAGCCCCGAAATCATCTCAAGATAACCTCAAGAAGATACTTGATTGAGCATCAACTAATACATTAGATGACCTCATGAGATCATTCTACTTCTAAGAAGAGACACTTTCATCGAAAATTACAAAATACAGTAGTGTAGTGCTGTAAAATACATAAATACAACTTATAGTCAAAAACAACCTAATTTAGTTTACTCATCAGTAAACTAGCGACACTTTGGGAGGCCATGTTTACACATGCTCACATTCAAAACATTGAGTTTACCGCCAAAAAACATGAACGAAACAGCTGATCAGGGCTCTTTGTTTACAAACACACACTAGGTGTCCTCGTACTACGTGCCCTGAATGAATGGCAGCGCCACTCATTCATGCACCTGACCCGACTCAATTAATGACGATATGCGTGTCCTGAATAGTACTGAATGTGAATATCCAACTTATTCATAAATATTTTAACGAAGGATTCATATAAAAGTGATTTGAAGTGTACAACTGTGTGTTATTATAGACCCTTGTTTTAATTTTATATTTTCTAACTGTGATGCATTTGATCTCGAGATTAGAAGTTTTAAAGAGGAAGTAAATTAATCTTAAAGAGTTCCTTTAAGATTGCATATAGACTCCTCATTGATTGGAATTGCCAATCACGATTTAAGACGTGATTATCATGATTCACAGCACTGCAAGCTTCCAGTGAACCAATCAAAATAGACTGTACACTTAATACAAACCTAATTACAGGCTGATAGTATGTATGATAGATAATGTATAATGTATATGTATATGATGTATATGATAGATAGATAATGTATGATAGTTAGAATCAAGCCAAATGCTGACATTTTAAACACTAACTTACCATTCCAATATCACAATCTATCTGCAACCTTACCTTAACAGCCTCCTTGATCTGAATGTAGTTTCTGGTGTTTTCAGTGAGGAGGACGAATTGGGTCCAATGGTACTCTTTCATGATGGAGATAAGGGCCTTGACTATCTTGGTGGAGGGAGGCATAGTTCGGGCCACTGTGTAGTAGCGGGTCTTGTTGCTCACTCTCTGGTCTGCACACTTCTGCAATGGTATGAGAAAATGTTTTTTTTAGGTCAATGGGGGATATTTTTGTTGATTAGGGAGTTCGAGTGAGTGGGGTTATGTTAGTGTGTGTGTGTGTGTGTGTGTGTGTGTGTGTGTGTGTGTGTGTGTGTGTGTGTGTGTGTGTGTACTCATCTAATTGTGCTTGCGGGGGTTGAGCTTTGGCTCTTTGGTCCCGCCTCTCAACTGTCAATCAATTGGTGTACAGGTTCCTGAGCCTATTGGGCTCTATCATAACTACACTTGAAACTGTGTATGGAGTCAGCCTCCACCACATCACTGCCTAATGCATTCCATTTATTAACTACTCTGACACTGAAAAAATTCTTTCTAACGACTAACGACTCTGTGTGTGTGTGTGTGTGTGTGTGTGTGTGTGTGTGTGTGTGTGTGTGTGTGTGTGTGTGTGTTACTAATGAGAGCAACTTTGCTAATGCAAGAATCAATTTCTCCATCACCCTGTGCATCCGTACTTTCTATTTCTGTCCTAATGTTCATAACCTTGTAATATCTCTCTGTCTCTCTCTCTCTGTCTCTCTCTCTCTCTCTCTCTCTCTCTCTCTCTCTCTCTCTCTCTCTCTCTCTCTCTCTCTCTCTCTCTCTCTCTCTCTCTCTCTCAGGTCTTCAATATATTCATAAAACAGGACAAGAACCACCTAGACACTTGGGATCGTCTCTCAGAACCTGTCTCAACTCTAGTATCTCCTCGCTCGCACTATGAGCCTTTGTTTCCACTCTGGAAGGTACTCCCTCTTGGGTATTCCTCTCGACACATCTGCTCTGACACAATATTGTCACACTTGTAATTCCTTGTAACATGTCTTACAGTTCCTTGTAAGTTGATATTGAGATCTACCCAGATTATATATGTTTTATAAGAAAGTATAATTAACTAGGGATTATAGGATATACTGCATTTTTTCAGTTTTGTTATAGAGTTTTATATGGTTCTATATAGTATTCACCTAGTTGTGAATACTATACTACAAGCTACACCAATTTCATTCTTGAATTGTCTACATGTAATCCTTTCCACATATCCCACATATCCCACATATTCCACATGCTGCCAGCATCTGGATCTGTCTCATCTTATCCATCTCACATTTGATAATTATTCACATCCTTATTCATCCATGAATATATCTACAGGTAATCTCAATAACTTTATATCCATCATAAATCCCTTTTATCCATCCCTTTTCTCCCAAATCCTTATCCTAATCCCTCCCAAGGGCTAAATAATCCTAACGGCGTATAGTACATTTTTTTTCATAGTTACCTTCCCTTATATATATATATATATATATATATATATATATATATATATATATATATATATATATATATATATATATATATATATATATATATATATATATATATGTATATAGGACACATAATGTGTATATTACAATGGAGAGATAGGGGGGAGGGGTTTCTCTCACTAGGTGAGGAAAGTCCCGACCTTGTAAGATAGCCCAATTGGGTACAGGATTGGCTATTCTTATATACAGAAAATTATATTAATATGATTATCGAAATATTGGCGAATAAAACTTTATTTTGAACTGTTTTAGCGTAAATTAATTAATTTATTCATTTTAATACGTCAAATAATTTAAGAGGGAATGAATTGGCAATTAGTAAGCGACTTCCCATTCTGTTAACTACAAGAATTAACTAAACAATGCCAGTAACGACCTTGTTAGTGGCATAGTTCTACCCTACACAATCTTGTAACTGGGGAGCCGGTCGGCCGAGCGGACAGCACGCTGGACTTGTGATCCTGTGGTCCCGGGTTCGATCCCAGGCGCCGGCGAGAAACAATGGGCAGAGTTTCTTTCACCCTATGCCCCTGTTACCTAGCAGTAAAATAGGTACCTGGGTGTTAGTCAGCTGTCACGGGCTGCTTCCTGGGGGTGGAGGCCTGGTCGAGGACCGGGCCGCGGGGACACTAAAGCTCCGAAATCATCTCAAGATAACTTCATGGTAACCTCATGATAACCTCAAGATAACCTCATGATAACCTCATGATAACCTCAAGATAACCTCATGATAACCTCATGATAACCTCAAGATAACCTCATGATAACCTCATGATAACCTCATGATAACCTCAAGATAACCTCAAGATAACCTCAAGATAACCTCATGATAACCTCAAGATAACCTCAAGATAACCTCAAGATAACCTCATTATAACCTCAAGATAACCTCAAGATAACCTCAAGATAACCTCATGATAACCTCAAGATAACCTCATGATAACCTCAAGATAACCTCAAGATAACCTCAAGATAACCTCATGATAACCTCATGATAACCTCATGATAACCTCAAGATAACCTCAAGATAACCTCATGATAACCTCAAGATAACCTCATGATAACCTCAAGATAACCTCATGATAACCTCAAGATAACCGTAGAGAGGATAACGAGCTTGTTTGGGAACGCCTTAAACTGCTCAAGCGCTAGTTAGACGGCCTCCAGCGCGTAACTTAAGATCAAATGAATAGTTTGAATACATTATCTTGAGCGATAATAATAGGAAGAACGAAGATCAAAGATCTAAAATCTATATATAAGCGTTGGAGTGATTAGAGACGTCCAGTACTGTCAGTTAGGTTATCTTGAGATGATTTTGGGGCTTTAGTGTCCCCGCGGACCGGTCCTCGACCAGGCCTCCACCCCCAGGAAGCAGCCCGTGACAGCTGACTAACTCCCAGGTACCTATTTACTGCTAGGTAACAGGGGCATTCAGGGTGAAAGAAACATTGCCCATTTGTTTCTGCCTCGTGCGGGAATCGAACCCGCGCCACAGAATTACGAGTCCTGCGCGCTATCCACCAGGCTACGAGGCCCCCCTCGTAGCCTGGTTAACGTTAATGTTATGTTTCATAAAGTTACGTCCAATGCCCCCCTCCCATATATATACATATATAAGTAAAAATAACTTACGAAGATGCACTACTATGGGATTTAACCCTCTGACACCACCGTTGGTCCCTAAGCTGATATGCAATGATAGCCAAATATGCAACTGAAAACTCCACACACCCCCAGAAGGATTCGAACCCAGATAGCCAGGAGCTATCTGGGTTCGAATTGGAGCTATATAAAAGAATTGGAAGTCATCTGACCTTTAACCCAATTCCCGACAGCACTCGCCGACCCATTTGGGCATAGATATTTTATCTGTTAGCTGGGGCTACGTGAGGTAGCATTTGGGCAAACACACTTGAATGGTCCCCCCCAGCTACACACACACACACACACACACACACACACACACACACACACATGTTCTCCTGCAGCACATATCAAGCGGATAACATCAGCGGCATATGCCAGGCTGGCCAACATACGAACGGCATTCAGAAACTTGTGTAAAGAATCATTCAGAACTTTGTATACCACATATGTCAGGCCAATCCTGGAGTATGCAGCCCCAGCATGGAGTCCATATCTAGTCAAGGATAAGACTAAACTGGAAAAGGTTCAAAGGTTTGCCACCAGACTAGTACCTGAGCTGAGAGGTATGAGCTACGAGGAGAGACTACGGGAATTAAACCTCACTTCGCTGGAAGACAGAAGAGTTAGGGGGGACATGATCACCACATTCAAGATTCTGAAGGGAATGATAGGGTAGATAAAGACAGTCTATTTAACACAAGGGGAACACGCACAAGGGGACACAGGTGGAAACTGAGTGCCCAAATGAGCCACAGAGATATTAGAAAGAACTTTTTAGTGTCAGAGTGGTTGACAAATGGAATGCATTAGGGGGTGATGTGGTGGAGGCTGACTCCATACACAGTTTCAAATGTAGATATGACAGAGCCCGATAGGCTCAGGAATCTGTACACCTGTTGATTGACGGTTGAGAGGCGGGACCAAAGAGCCAGAGCTCAACCCCCGCAAACACAACTAGGTGAGTACACACACACACATACACACACACACACACACACACACACACACACACACACACACACACACACACACACACACACACACACACACACACACATACAGATCCCAGAGCTACGAGGGATGGGGTATGAGGAGCGCCTGAGGGAACTGTGCCTTACGACACTAGAAAGAAGAAGGGAGAGGGGGGACATGATAGGAACGTATAAGATACTCAGAGGGATTGACAGAGTGGACATAGACGAAATGTTCACACGGAATAGTAACAGAACGAGAGGACATGGATGGAAGCTTGAAACTCAGATGAGTCACAGAGATGTTAGGAAGTTTTCTTTTAGCGTGAGAGTAGTGGGGAAATGGAATGCACTTCAGGAACAGGTTGTGGAAGCAAATACTATTCATAATTTTAAAACCAGGTATGATAGGGAAATGGGACAGGAGTCATTGCTGTAAACAACCGATGCTCGAAAGGCGGGATCCAAGAGTCAATGCTCGATCCTGCAGACACAACTAGGTGAGTACAACTAGGTGAGTACACACAGGAAGCAACCCGTAACAGCTGTCTAACACCCAGGTATCTATTTACTGCTAGATGAACAATGGCATCAGGGTGAAAGAAACTCTACCCATTTTGTTTCTGACATCACAGGGGATCGAACCCGGATCCTAGAATTACGAGTCCAGAGCGCTATCCACTCAGCTATCAGGCCCAAACGTGTGCATACACTGATAAATACAGCATAGTTGTTGTATTTATATCCATCCTATATTGCCCTCAATAGAGGATTTTATGTATTTCCGCTACAGAGGATTATATGTAATCCCATATATATGTATATATGTAACCTGAAGTTCTCATTCTAGTCACATATTAGAAAGAAAAGATTGCAAGCACTTTATGAAACTAAATATTCAACATCTGATCCCCTGAACACAAGTTTAATAGTTAACACATACAGGAGAAATAATGATTTAACATTCCAATCAAAAGATTTTTCGAGATTGCCTGCGGAGTCGAAGCTGCCAGAGGTAAATGTA